AATCAGGTTAGGCTGATGGAGTAGAAATAGATGAGGTGGGGAAATCAGCAACAACAGCACAGGGATTATGCATCGACGGCACATTCACTTAGTCCGTTTAGGATAAAGCTGCGTCAAAAATCCCCTCTGGACACCCGTGATCATCCTCAGAGCTCAGCCGGCCGGGTGGGTGAAAACTGAAAAGCAGCTCCTCACCGCTCCCCTGGCTGCTGCGATCTTCCTCTTCTGTCGACTGGCGAGAGAAGGTGAGCGGACTATATTGAAGGCTGTGGTGAGAATCATAATGGGGAGAGGAGGAGGCTCATTGGAGCGTCTCTCTGCATGTGAAGCGCGTGCGTCAGAGTGAGGCGGTGACAGCAGAGGTGAGCACCTCAGAAGCTGCTGGGTTCGTCTCCCTCTGTGGCTCGCCTCAGCAGCACCCCCAGACCACCACGGAGGGAATTTTCTTAATTTGGAATAGATGCAGGCGCTCCTTGAAGACTTAAGTCAAACGACATGACACGTAACTCTGTTGTGAGTGTGTGAAGAGCTATTTTTAAGAAATGCTGACTCAGCCTGAATGACAAGAAGAATGAAGGAAACAGCACACGATAAAGCAACAGCCTAGATTAAATGTGTCTGATTATTTAAAGTGATGCTTCATGCACCGTCCTCCTGATGGCAGACTGGCTCAGTGTGTGGTGGACTTGCTGAGCTTTGGATTTGAGGTCTTTCAGGACACTGGGGCAGGTACCGGCCAGCTGCTGCAGCCTCACCATGGGAGAGACAGCAGATTACCAAAGACTACAGGACACATCTGAGTCTGACAACCATCGCTGTCCCAGTGACGATGAAGAGGTAGATCTCTCTACTTCTCTTATTTCTACAGATTCCATAAGCTTAGCAGCTATCGTCAGAAAATTCAAACTGTGAATCAGTTTATCGGTTTGCTGCTGTGGTTTTGATTCGGTTTCTGCGTCCTTCCAGCAGCATGTTTACATAGAGGAACCCACAGCCTCAGTATCATCGCTCACCTCATTTCTATTTTCCTGCTGTTAAAATCTAAAATGGCCAGCTAGAGTTAGATTCTCAGTCATAACTTTCCCTCAAATGTCAGTCATTTGTCACAAAGTCCATGTTCAAAGATGATCACTGCATTTCTCACCCACACCCTGTGTGTCCTGCGGTGGAAAACATGTGAAAACGTTTGTTTTTAACCCCAAATTGAACAAGCTTACCTAGATCTTTAAAAGCAGCTCAGATGATGAAACTGCAACTATGATTCTGATAACAAGCTAACAAATTGAACTAAGATAACTGGCTAGCAGAGCTTCTGACTGACAGTTTATGTGCAGCAGCAAATCAACTATCCTGATTAACAAGGTTATAAAAGCTCATAAAGGAAAAATCACTTTGATGTGTGGGGGAACTTTTCCAGGCCCTCTTTAGCAGGGTGGGACTGGGAGGAGAGTGCTGTAGCCTTTTAGCTGGAAGCTAACCAGAGCCTGACATGAAGGTGGGTTGGTTCACCGGCACGTGTCGGAGTCAGCCCGGTAAAAATGATTAACGACACCGAGCGGAGTCACGTTCACGTTTGAAAGCGGCGCTGAATCCAGAAACCTCAGCACAAAGTGCGTTCATTGCTCTGAGCCACAATGACGAACAAGGGAACGGCGCCGCTAACTCAGTTCGGGTGTTGCTTTCCAAAAGGGTCTACGTAGGGGGCAGGCGTATTACGTGAATGGACCCATCTGATTGGCCGCATATCAGAAGGGCTACATTTGATTGGTCAAATAATACTTTTGCGCAAATAACAGAGCTGGTTTACAAAAAGTTGATGTATGACACGGATGGAAATGTTGAACCAAACATTTATTGCTGTTTTTGACGTGCTTTGCGATGGGCCTATCGCACGTCCTGTTATAGTTAATTTTTTGATATATTGTGCAGCCCTAGTCAGAGTCCTCTTCCGTTGATCAGGATGGTTTCAGTCTTAAGTTGATGAGTCCCTTGAAGTCCAGGTCCGGAATGCAAGAATGGAGTTCGGGATGTGAGAGCGCACAGTTCAACTTCTCAATGGGAAGACGTCAGGGTCCTTCCATGGTGTGTTGAGATGGTTGTCCAATTGTCAGGGAGCTGATCTTGTCTCCAGAAAGTCCTTCAGGTCCTTTTACCATGAAACCAGGTTGGAGATTGGGTGCGGGTGATTGAAGCAGTTATCCTTTTCCAGCGCCTCTCCGTCGCTGTGTTCTGTCGTAGTTGCGTCCAGGGGTCTTCAGCCGAGGTGGGTGCAGGTTACGTTGTCATGTAGGTGTGCGGTCAGGGAGGAGCCCCAGTCCGTTGTTCCAATTCCAGTTCTAGTAGCCCCTCAGATGCTGCTGTCCCAGTCGTTCCATCAGGTGCTTAGAGGTGGCCCAAATGCAGGGTCACGGTCGTGCACCAACATCAACAATGTGGTGAAACCAGCAAGCTTGAAGCAGATCTTCATCTTTATCTTTATCTTTATCTTCACCGGGGTTGAGACGTGGACCCTAGAGGTAACCCACCCCTTTGCAGCCGGACTTCGTTGCCGCTCTAGTAGTGGTCAGTTGACGTTGATGAGCTTGCAGTGGGGTAGATGAATCCAAGATGGCCTCTCAGCAAACTTCACAGCAGTAGGAGTGGTGCGGAGTACTTCGAGTGGACCTTCTCACCTTTGGCTGCCCCAATTTACTTGTTTCAGCACCATCATCAGAACCCAATTTCCTGGTTTCACGACCTGTGGGCGAAAAAGCACAAGAAATTTCTGGGAGATCACTGTTGATTTGGACTTGTTTTCAGCTCAAATTCAAGGACTCAAATATCCAGCCATTACCTCATTCACTAATGTGTTCTATTTACTTATCTTGTAAAAGAGGCACACAGGTGAGTGCGTGTGTGTAGGGAAATCATTATCAGCCATCCCTCCTCTTGAGACACGAGACAACTCATGGCTCACCAGAGCAAAAGAGGCATAAACAGATATAAACAAAACAGGTCCGATACCGGCAAGCATTGCGTCAAACCGATGCAAAAGTTGCATCCCACATAACATGTTTCCTCTAAAGGCTAAAAATACCCATTCCACGGAACTTGCAATTAATTTGTCACGATAACTTGATTGGTGATTCAAAACTTACCTTTTAAATATTTTAACCAGGGATGTCCCGATCCGATCACATGTTCGGAAGTCGGCCCCGATCACGTGGTTTCAGACTGATCGGGACTCGGGCTGATTATTCATGAACTCCAGCTGCGTTCTGCACACGGCCACAGTAACATTTTCTAAGTTTCTAAGTGGCGTCACCAAAAAATATATAATTAACACACAGTCATTCATGTCCGTTCATTTTCTCTCTGGTAAGTTCTGTCTGTATTTGAGCATGACGTGTGGACGCACTCGCTGCAGCGCTCATCGCTGGCTCAGCCGGGCAGTGCACACTCCGTTTTTTGCGGTCAATAGATCAATTTGATCTGCTAGTTAACAAGTGATTTGTGAGGTGAAAAAGAAGGAAGGAGGCAGGAGTTTTTCTGGACTGGGAGATGCAGGAAGATCAGAGACAGACAGGACAGGAAGACAGGAAAATAAAAACCAAGAAAACAAAACAAAGTTCTTAAAAAATAAAATGTAGGTAGATGGATCTCACTACACGTTTGTACCTGTATAAAGCAATAACTTATCAGCATGTAGTATTTATATAGTTGGTACAATTCAGATCATCTTCAAAACTCCGTCCCATGCCCAGGGGCGTATCTAAGCATTTTGGGGGGCCGAGGCAAAATAGACCCCTGCCAGGTATTTTAAGTTGAAGTGCTATCTGTTTTTATATTAGACTTTTTAAATTTGCAATGAAGTCCAAAAGTGAAGAATTTATGTTATTTATTACTTGATTGTTCAAGCTACCTCACAGAAGTGATCTGTTGTTAAAATTTTAAATAAAAAAGGTAATTAAATCAAAAATAAGGAACATTCTGGAACTATTTCTTCCTTTTCTTCCTATTTTTTTAGGTATCGGATTGGGACTCTGTATCGGCAGATTCTCAAAATCAAATGACTCGGACTCGGGGGCAAAAAAACCTGATCGGGACATCCCTAATTTTAACGACTTCATTAAAGCAGCTTTTCGGAGGTTTCCCCTTTCAGAAATTATGTATGATTTGTCAGAAATCCGTAAGTGATTATCTTATCCTTACTGTGATATAATGTAACAGGGTTTCCCCCAGAAAATGAGTTAAGCCTGGCGGATTCGGCCGTGGGGGGTGGGGTGGGGGGTGTCGCGCACTCCATTCCGCAGCGCTCCTCCGTGAGAGCGGGGGTGGGGGGGTTGCACACGTTCTGCTGCTGTTTCTCACCAGTATCAGCTGATGGAGGGCTCTAGTTACGTTGCGCCGTTCGTGTCAGCGGACACGATAAGGTCGGGGAGGGGGGCGGGGTATGCCGCTTAGCCTGGCAGGTGGCCAAGCATAGCCTGGCTGGCCGCCAGGCTTATCAAGCGCTGGGGGAAACCCTGTGTAAGCAATATGTCCTTTTTTTTTTTTTTTTTACTAAGCTCTTCCGCTGCCCCGCAGAACTACTGCTACTACCACCTACTTGCTTCAAATTTAAGGAATACCTCGGCTGATGCAGAGTTGATAAACTTTTCACGGACAAGAAAGTCTTGTATGAGAACACATCATGACACAAGAATAATACTCGTAAAACAGCGTGTTTTAGCTCTGTTTGTCGGCTACAGAAGCACATTTATAAACAGAAACGTGAAGTCGCCATCTTAAAAATCAGAAGGAGTGATATATGCTTGTCAGCCACTAGATGGTGCCATCGGATAAGAGAAATTCTCCGGAAAGTAGCTTTAATTATTGCATTAATAATTATTTCGTTCACACGAAGCTTGTTTTGACAAAGGAGGCTTAAAACTAAATACAAGATGTGATTTAACATGTTCATCCAAGTAACAGTAAGACATTTAAGGTAAATAATTCATGCTAAGATGCTTTTGCACATTCAATCTGTGGGAGATGCAAAGTGAAATCCTGCCAACAGAGCTCTCTGTCGGCTCCATCAGCTCTCGCTGCTTTTCACCGTGAGCTAGGACTCTGGAGTCTGGAAGAAAAACAAGACCACGCATGACTCACGCTATAGGCTGAGATAAGAACCAGATAGCCCAATCACAAAATCTCTCATAATTAGTTCACCCAATCACAAAATCATGCGTAAATAGGTGCTTGGTGTAGACAGGGAAACCTTTCTGCTTCAGGGAGTGTGCTCCATGCTGCCTCCAGGTGGACAAAGTCAGAAAGAACACCCACTGAACTTGAAAACCCTCTGATGTTCCCCTGTGGGCTATTTTGAGGCTTAGCACACATAAACTATGGCTTCTGGTCATGACACCTTTCTTGTGAATATATATAAATAATATGTAAATGTCCATCCATCCATCCATTTTCTGAAACCGCTTTGTCCACGTAGGGTCGCGGGGAGGGGGGCTGGTGCCTATCTCCAGCGGCCAACGGGCAATCAGGCGGGGTACACCCTGGACAGAGAGCCAGTCCATCGCAGGGCAACACAGAGACACACAGGACAAACAATTATACACACACTCACACCTAAGGACAATTTGGACAGACCAATCAACCTAAGTCATGTTTTTGGACTGTGGGAGGAAGCCGGAGTACCCGGAGAGAACCCACGCATGCACAGGGAGAACATGCAAACTCCATGCAGAAAGATCTCAGGCCGGGAAGCGAACCCAGGACCTTCTTGCTGCAAGGCAACAGCTCTAACCACTGCGTCACTGCGCAGCCATATGTAAATGTAAATATATGTATATAATTTTCTGGCT